CCCCCCCCCCCCCCCCAGAAACTCCGTCTATGCATTAGTGTACAGTAGACTGGAAAGACTAAATTCTGCTTTTCATGAGTAGTAAGTAAAAAGGCAATGTAGTTATTGAATGGAGACCATGAATGTAACAATAAATGCATGTTGAATTTTAATTGGTAAAATTAATCAAAGGCCTTCGAGGCCGACTCACGGATGAGATCAAATTAAAGGGGGATATGATTTACAGCAGTTTTTTACAAACGGGAACCGTGCAAGGGCAAGGACATTATTTGGTAAAAACACGACATAATATAGGATGTTCCCGAAGATCTCACAGGTTTAAACAGTTTAATAATTTTAACGACATCCTCGATTTTAACAATAACCAATATCAATAGTCTTGAAAAAACAATCTGAACCGTTGTACCAATAAGGGTGGTGTTTTATAACCGTCCAATGGCAATGTACAGTGTTTAAGTAAATCCAGGCGGTAATGCTTAAACTTAAATGCTTAAACTGCTTAAAAAACTTAAACTAAACTGCTTAAAAATGCTTAAACTGTTTAAACTACATTTAAACTTAAATGCTTAAAGTGCCTCAGTGTCCAATTTCTTTTTCACGTTAGTTGCAATATTTTTGTTGTTATAGGTGATGTTTGCTGGAACGGTTAGAAGAATTTCTTGCAGTTCTTCATCTGTCATTTCATCCAAAGGAACGACGTTGCCATGGCTTTCACTTTGATGAATGTCGAGCAATGCTTGTATTATATGTTGTTTCATCAATAAAGATATCTTTTGCCCATTTTCATTGATAAAGAAGACGTTGGCATGCACCTTTTTTTGGCAGGAACGCAATAACTGGATAAGGCCACATGCAGTGCATTTTATTGTCTTCCCGGCAGTATGCTGAACCATTGAGTTGGCACATTTCTTGCAGGATAGGGTTCTGTGTGTTGCCAAAATCCCTTCTGGAGGGGAAGAAATGGTGAATTCTTTATAGGTATTGGCGAGATCATCATCAGGATTTGCAATAGTTTGGCTAACTTTAGAAATCTGGGTTTCCTTGTTTATGGTAATGTAAGGTTGGTTGTCGAATTCGCGCACAACTGATCTTGTCAACATGTATGTCTCCCCTGACTGAACTTTCTGGATATCATTTTCCCAGAGAACTAAACGTATTGAGCCAGTTTCGTCAGTTAGTATGGTTTCTTGTTTCTTCAAATTTTTGCCTCTGACGTTTACGTATTCCGTTCCACCCTGGAAGGTTAGTCGACCAAGAACAGTGATCGCTCTTCTGGGCCTAACTTCATTTACTTCCCTCACAGCGGTCGTCGTTGTGGTATAATCAAATTATTTTGCCGCAATGTCAAAAGTTATTTCAAACTCAGATGGATTATCAAGCTTCGTTCGCTTGTTTACGATGATTTCTTCTTCATTTGTTCGACGGTTAGATTTAAGTTGAAATTGACTTAGTTTTACTGGCGACGAGGCTTCGAAGTTTCTCTTAAACGTCTCATGTTTCTCTGGGGAGAAACAAACAGTTCTCACTGTGCGATCTTCTGTCTGCATTTTCATGTGAAAATATGCGTTATTGTTTTGACTTTGCTTTACAGGCGACAGTTGATGGATGTAGCCAATAACAGGCATGTCTACGAATAAAACAAAAGTCAAAGTTAACAAACCTTTGTGTCTTAGCTCTGAATTTGCACATCAGACAGTATGCAGCACATTTTTATACGTCCAGGATATGCTGATATATCAATCCTGGTTGTAAATACGTTGCAGGGGTGGAAAAATATTTTTCTTCGACTGTACAATGGTAGTATCAATTTGTAAATAACAAAGTCCTGCTGCGACTTAAAATATTTTTTCTGGGAACATAGAGAATTTTCTGGGACCAATGGCCCCATGGTCCGATACATTTTCTACACCTGATACGTTGGTTTTGACTTTTTGAATTTACAATATGAAGAGCATGCATTTAAGTTAAGAGTTATACACATTTACTTACTTTCGTTTAAGGCAGCTTTATTCTCGACAGCTCTACCTGTACGTGTTAAATTGCTCTGACCTTTAAAGTAATAAACTATGGTTAATAATTAACTAGGTTTGAATACAAGTGTTTCACATATAATGTAATTAAACTGCAATATATAAGTAGTTAGTTAACTATGACTAAAAATAATAAAATTACTGGGTTTTTTGGATGTACATGTACTTACTTTCGTGAAGGATAATTTCATTCACAGCAGCTTCATCTGATATAAAATTGCTCGGACCTTCAATGCAAGAAAAAGAGAAGAAGTCAGTACTCTAGATCTTAATAAAGTGTATGAGTTTAAATCTGTAGTACAGGTAGTCAGAGCTTTTGTCGTAGCAGCTTTATTATCGACAGCTCTACCTCTACGTATTAAATTGCTCTGACCTTTAAAGTAATAAACTATGGTTAATAATAAACTTGGTTTGAATACAAGTGTTTCAAATATAATGTAATTAAACCGCAATGTATAAGTAGTTAGTTAACTATAACTAAAGGTAATAAAATTACTGCTTTTTTTAGATGTACATGTACTTACTTTCGTGAAAGATAATTTCATTCACAGCAGCTTCATCTGATACAAAATTGCTCGGACCTTCAATACAAGAAAAAGAGAATAAGTCAATACTCTTAATAAAGTGTACGAGTTTAAATCTGTAGTACAGGTAGTTAGAGCTTTTGTCGTAGGTACAGAAAAACTACATGTTTTGTAGCCACAGTACATAAATGATAATTTATGTTTATAATACTTACCTTCTTCCATAGCAACTTCAGTTGTGAGGGCTGCATCTGGCGTAGATGCAACTTCAGCTGTAACAGCTCCTTCTTGGGTAAACGCAACTTCAGTTGCGAGGGCTGCATCTGGCTTAGATGTAACTTCAAGTGTTATGGCTCCTTCTTGGGCAAAGGCAACTTCAGTTGTGAGGGCCAGATCTAGTGTAGATGCAACTTCAGGTGCAACGGGGGCTCCTTTGGTAGACGCAACTTCAGTTGTGAGGGCTGTATCTGGTGTAGATGCAACTTTAGGTGCTACGGCCGCAGCTGGTTTAGGTTTGCCTCGAGGTTTATTTCGCTTCTTATCAGTTTTGCTTTGCTTCGAGGTTACTATATCGTGAACATGGTTAATAAAGTTGATTTTAATGTGGTATACATTTTTTATGTAGTTGTTTTTGTTAATATACAGGAACAGGACCAACAAAAATTGCACTTTGACTTTTAGAACTTTAAAACTTATTAGAAAAGTTAGTATCATTGATTATACTCCATCTGTTATTAGTTTAATATGTGGCTATACGACTGTTAACAGTGTTGCACTTACCAGCAGCGTTCTTATTTGAGGGAATACTGGATGACCATGGGTTTTCCATTGTCTAAATCCATAAAAAAAACCGTATCAGTTGTGAAACATGTTAAAAATGGACCAGGATGCCAATGGTCTCGAAATTTGAAGCTGTGTGAACATCTTACAGTATTGCTGTTCATAAACTCTAGTGGATCAATTGAAGACAAACAAAAATTGGTTTATGGTCACTAAAGTATGACTCCAATGTGCCAGATGAATGAACAACATGTGGGATATTAGTATAAATATGATCTATGCAAGTTCTATTGTCTGTGGTAAATTGTGAGATCAATTGGGAGTATCCCCTACACTCAATCATGTTTTGCATTAAAGCTTTTCGCTCACTAGAGGGTTTCAATAAGTCAATATTAAAATCTCCCAGGAGAATGGTTGGCTTGTTAACCAGTAATGTCATGTGAAGATAGTCTAATGCCTCTATGAGTTTGTGAAGCTTGACTTTCGACCTTGAACGGTAAATGCCAACAATATGCAGATTGGGAACAGGCTCATTCACAACTGTCACAGAAATTTCCATGTTATTGTAGTTGTAACTAAAAGGTGGTACAAGGTAAGCAAGTGTCGATTTAAGGTACGTAATTGTCCCATATGTCGTTCGAATATTATTTTCCAAATGAATATGATCATTTCTGAAAAGATCAAATCCATCAATTTTATACTCTTCATCTGTGTCTCGTGCACACAAAGCTGTTTCAACAAAGATACTTATATCTGTTGCTTGAACATCAAAATCGTTTGAAATGTCCGAGATGTGAAGATGAAGTGATCTGACATTGTGAAATAGTATTTTTAACGTTTTTGTGTAGGAAACTGCTGTGAGATCTGGAACACATGGAACTAATTTACATTTAGATCTCAGTCTGGCCATTTCTTCTTTAACTTTAGGATTAACTCTGATTTTGTTCTCATTTAAATTTAAAATGTGCAACTTGTCAATGTTTCTAACTCTACTAAGACCAACATAGTGCATGTGCTCTCTGGTTGAATTTGGGAAATCAACAACTGCTTCATCAAGAGTGTCTCCCTGACAACGATGAATTGTTTTTGCAGCAGCTGGCCTTAGAGGGAACTGCCTTCGTAAGACTTTTTTTACATTGGTACTTTTTCCAATTTTAAA